TTCTCCTCGCTGCAACATTCATCACCCATGCTTCACACCCATATAAGAGCGTTGGTAAAACTATACTCTCACACATTCCCCTCTTTGCCTCCAAGGACAAGGTTCTTTGTCTCCACAGACTCCTTTCTTTGTCTCCACAGACTCCTAAGTGCACCACTCACCCTTTTCCCCTCATCAATTCTATGATTCACCTCATCTTTAATAGACCCATCCGCTGACATGTCCACTCCAAAATATCTGAATACATTCACCTCCTCCATACTCTCTCCCTCCAATCTGATATCCAATCTTTCATCACCTAATCTTTTTGTTATCCTCATAACCTTACTCTTTCCTGTATTCACTTTTAATTTTCTTCTTTTGCACACCCTACCAAATTCATAAACCAATCTCTGCAACTTCTCTTCAGAATCTCCCAAGAGCACAGTGTCATCAGCAAAGAGCAACTGTGACAACTCCCACTTTATGTGTGATTCTTTATCTTTTAACTCCACGCCATTTGCCAAGACCCCCGCATTTACAGTGGTCCCTCGCTTTTCGTAGTTCCCGGCAATCGTAAATTTCGCCAATCATAGGGTTATTTTCGTATAAACATGGACTCGCTTTTCATAAGTTGACTCGCAAGTCGTAATTCGTCCCGGACACGTACCCAATGCGTGAGCCGTGGCAGCAGCCAGTCTGGCATTGTTTACCAGTGAGCGAAGGTCCCCTCACGTGCTCCAGCAAAATATTTCATAATATTCCATTTATTTTAGTGCTTGCAAGTACTAAATAAGCTACCATGGCTCCAAAAAAAGCTCCCAGTGCCAAGCCTGTGGTAAAGAAGGTGAGAAATACGATTGAATTTAAGAAAACCATCACTGAACAATATGAAAGTGGTACAAGTGTGGCAGAACTGGCCAGGATGTATAAGAAACCCTACACAACCTTATGTTCCATAGTGGCCAAGAAAAAGGAAATCAAGGACACTGTTGTTGCAAAGGGGGTAACTATGCTGACAAAAATGAGATCACCAGTACTCGAAGAGGTTGAGAAGTTATTATTGGTGTGGATAAATGAGAAACAATTAGCAGGAGATACTCTTATGACTTCGATTATTTGTGAAAAGGCTAGGCAGTTGCATGAAGATTTGGTAAAGAAATTGCCTGCAAATAGTGGTGAAGTGAGTGAATTTAAGGCCAGCAAAGGCTGGTTTGAGAGATTTAAGAACCGTACTGGCATACACAGTGGCAAGGCATGGTGAGGCTGCCAGTTTGGACCATAAGGCGGCTGAAAAATATGTGCATGAATTCCAGGAGTACATAGAGGCTGAAGGACTGAAGCCTGAACAAGTGTTCAATTGTGACAAAACAGACCTCTTTTGGAAGAAAATGCCAAAGAGGACCTTCATTACACAAAAGGTAAAGGCAATGCCATGACACAAGCCTATGAAAGACAGGCTGACTCTAATGTTCTGTGCTAATGCTAGTGGGCATTTCAAAGTGAAGTCATTACTAGTGTACCATTCTGAAAATCCCAGAGTGTTAAGGAAAAGCAATGTTATGAAGAGTAAATTGTGTGTGTTTTGGAAATCTAATAGTAAGGCATGGGTCACGAGGGAAATTTTCATCGAGTGGTTCAATGAAGTGTTTGGCCCTAGTGTGAAGGAGTGTCTCCTGGAAAAGAAATTGGATCTCAAGTGCCTGCTAGTAAAGGACAATGCACCTGCTCATCCTCCAAACTAGGATGACCTAATTTTCGAGGAGTTTGGGTTCATTACAGTAAAGTTCTTGCCCCTGAATACCACTCCTCTCCTCCAGCCCATGGACCAGCAGGTCATTGCAAACTTTAAAAACTCTACACAAAAGCAATGTTTCACCGGTGCTTGACTGTGACCACAGACACTCACTTGACCCTAAGGGAACTTTGGAGAGAACACTTTAGCATCCTCCATTGCATAACCCTTATAGGTATGGCTTGGGAGCGAGTGACTATCAGGACTTTGAACTCTGCCTGGAAAAAATTGTGGCCAGATTGTGTCGACAAGAGGGATTTTGAAGGGTTTGGGACTGACCCTGATGAGCCTATGTCTGTTGTAAAATCAATTGTGGCACTGGGGAGTTCCATGGGGTTGGATGTGAGTTTGGAGGATGTGGAAGAATTAGTGGAAGACCACAACAAAAAGCTCACCACTGAGGAGCTGCAAGAGCTTCAGCAGGAACAGCAACAGATCGCAGCTCAGAATCTTGCTGCAGAGGAAGAGAGATTGAAGAAGGTGCCTTCTTCAGAAATTAAAGAGATTTTTACTATGTGGGGTAAGATGGAAAGCTTTATCGAGAAACATCACCCTAACAAGTTTGTTGCAAGCCATATTGGCAACATGTACAATGACAAAGTCTTGGGCCATTTTAGGGAAGTGTTAAAGAGACGCCAGAAACAGAGCTCTCTCCACAGTTATTTTGCGAGACAGGACTCCAGTGACTCTCAAGGTGGTCCTAGTGGCATTAAGAAACAGAGAAGACAAACAACCCCAGAAAAGCAATTGGTACCTGAGGTGCTGCTGGAAGGGGATTCCCCTTCCAAACTATAAACAATCCACTCTCTCTCCTCCTCCAGTCTCCCATACACTAAGAAGAATCTCCAATAAAGGTAAGTGTTATGGTGTTAATGTTTCATTCATCATTTCCCATTGTATTGTTTATGTACTACATGTATATTTCATGTAAAATTTTTTTTTTGTTTTCATACTTCTGGGTGTCAGGAACGGATTAATTGTATTTACATTATTTCTTATGGGGAAAATTGATTCGCAAATCGTAAATTTCATTTATAGTAACGGCTCCAGGAATGGATTAATTACGAAAAACGAGGGACCACTGTACTTCTCTTACAACCCCATCTATAAATATATTAAACAACCATGGTGACATCACACATCCTTGTCTAAGGCCTACTTTTACTAGGAAATAATTTCCCTCTTTCCTACATACTCTAACTTGAGCCTCACTATCCTCGTAAAAACTCTTCACTGCTTTCAGTAACCTACCTCCTACACCATACACCTGCAACATCTGCCACATTGCCCCCCTATCCACCCTGTCATATGCCTTTTCCAAATCCATAAATGCCACAAAGACCTCTTAAGCCTTATATAAATACTGTTCACTTAAATGTTTCACTGTAAACACCTGGTCCACACACCCCCTACCTTTCCTAAAGCTTCCTTGTTCATCTGCTATCCTATTCTCCGTCTTACTCTTAATTCTTTCAATAATAACTCTACCATACACTTTACCAGGTATACTCAACAGACTTATCCCCCTATAATTGTTGCACTCTCTTTTGTCCCCTTTGCCTTTATACAAAGGCACTATGCATGCTCTCTGCCAATCCCTAGGTACCTTACCCTCTTCCATACATTTATTAAATAATTGCACCAACCACTCCAAAACAATATCCCCACCTGCTTTTAACATTTCTATCTTTATCCCATCAATCCCGGCTGCCTTACCCCCTTTCATTTTACCTACTGCCTCACGAACTTCCCCAACACTCACAACTGGCTCTTCCTCACTCCTACAAGATGTTATTCCTCCTTGCCCTATACATGAAATCACAGCTTCCCTATCTTCATCAACATTTAACAATTCCTCAAAATATTCCCTCCATCTTCCCAATACCTCTAACTCTCCATTTAATAACTCTCCTCTTTTATTTTTAACTGACAAATCCATTTGTTCTCTTGGCTTCCTTAACTTGTTAATCTCACTCCAAAACTTTTTCTTATTTTCAACAAAATTTGTTGATAACATCTCACCCACTCTCTCATTTGCTCTCTTTTTACATTGCTTCACCAGTCTCTTAACCTCTCTCTTTTTCTCCATATACTCTTCCCTCCTTGCATCACTTCTACTTTGTAAAAACTTCTCATATGCTAACTTTTTCTCCCTTACTGCTCTCTTTACATCATCATTCCACCAATCGCTCCTCTTCCCTCCCGCACCCACTTTCCTGTAACCACAAACTTCTGCTGAACACTCTAACACTACATTTTTAAACCTACCCCTTACCTCTTCGACCCCATTGCCTATGCTCTCATTAGCCCATCTATCCTCCAATAGCTGTTTATATCTTACCCTAAGAGAGAAGCAGGCATATATTATGGTATTTTATCAATTCATTCTCTAAACAACTGTGATGTCATATACTGTACATACAACAGTCTTCTTTCAACAAACCGGCTGTATCCCACTGCAGCAGGTTGGCCAAAAAAGATTCATACACGTTTTCTCTAATGCTGGACCAGAGAAAATAATGTTTCCCCTCCACCGACTACTACCCCTCCACAGCATGTAAACATTGCATGTTTATATGCTATGCAACGTGTTTATATAATTTTGAAGAAAATATCATAGATGGATTAATGAAAATGCCTATATTAAAGTAAAATAAGATATTTAATGTGTCCAAGAGTGAGTCACGAACATATGAGTGGCCCAGGCGGATGCATCTGGGACGGACGATTTCCAAGCAGGTGTACGAAACCCGGGGTAAAATTTAGCTGAAAAAAGTGATCGAAATCCGAATTGTACGATCTCCGCACCGGACGAAATCCAGGGGTGCACTGTATTATTATTATTATAATGGGGAAGCACTAAACCCGTAAGAATATACAATGCCTGTGGGAGGGATTGAAGGTATTCAATCTTAATTTAGGGAACTGGAGCACAGATACAATTCCCTACATCAAGAGCCCCTCACCAGTGTTAAGGAACCTCCCTTGAGGGGGAAGCTCACATCCTGAATTTTTGCTCATATCCAGAAACAAAAAATCGACCAAGCGACAGCGCATATCCTGAAAAACTCGCATGCTGGGGCACTCATAAGCTGAAGTTCCACTGTATCTCACTTCATAGAGACCAACACTCCAATAAATAGTACTTCAACATCCCACTGTTGATATTTTACATCTTGTATTACTAAATTAAGAATACTATTTCAGTGTAAAAATAATTGCTTACCGGTCCAATTACATCAGAAACATGAGACACGGTTGTTCCATTTGCAGCTCCCAGATACAAGACCTTTGATCCCGGAGTCATGTAAATATTCCCTATGCCTCCCACAATAGCAGCAGCTAATTTTGAACGGAATGGATTCCACACACGATACTCTATCTTTTCTGTGCCTTCCTGGAAAATGCAAAATACATTAAAACAACATATGAACCTAAGTAAATAAAACTAGTAATGAAAATGCAAAATACAAACTGTAATTTACCCTTGCAAATCAAAGATAAGTGTTTCATTACAAAATTAAAAATTGAGAATAAAAATTAATGAGGGCTTTCAGCCCTCAAACTCAAGAGACTAAAAGAGGACAGTAAATAACTTCAAGTTTTTGAAATCTGAAGAATCAGCTCATGGCACTGGGAAAAAAGTGCTGTCATGGATCGAGTCATAGCTCACTAATAGGAAGCAGAATTTTTATTATCACATTGGCCGATTCCCACCAAGGCAGGGTGGCCCGAAAAAGAAAAACTTTCACCATCATTCACTCCATCACTGTCTTGCCAGAAGGGTGCTTTACACTACAGTTTTTAAACTGCAACATTAACACCCCTCCTTCAGAGTGCAGGCACTGTACTTCCCATCTCCAGGACTCAAGTTCGGCCTGCTGGTTTCCCTGAACCGCTTCATAAATGTTACTTTGCTCACACTCCAACAGCATGTCAAGTATTAAAAACCATTTGTCTCCATTCACTCCTATCAAACACGCTCACGCATGCCTGCTGGAAGTCCAAGCCCCTCGCACACAAAACCTCCTTTACCCCCACCCTCCAACCTTTCCTAGGCCGACCCCTACCCCGCCTTCCTTCCACTACAGACTGATACACTCTTGAAGTCATTCTGTTTCGCTCCATTCTCTCTACATGTCCGAACCACCTCAACAACCCTTCCTCAGCCCTCTGGACAACAGTTTTGGTAATCCCGCACCTCCTCCTAACTTCCAAACTACGAATTCTCTGCATTATATTCACACCACACATTGCCCTTAGACATGACATCTCCACTGCTTCCAGCCTTCTCCTCGCTGCAACATTCATCACCCATGCTTCACACCCATATAAGAGCGTTGGTAAAACTATACTCTCATACATTCCCCTCTTTGCCTCCAAGGACAAAGTTCTTTGTCTCCACAGACTCCTAAGTGCACCACTCACCCTTTTCCCCTCATCAATTCTATGATTCACCTCATCTTTCATAGACCCTTCCGCTGACACGTCCACTCCCAAATATCTGAATACATTCACCTCCTCCATACCCTCTCCCTCCAATCTGATATCCAATCTTTCATCACCTAATCTTTTTGTTATCCTCATAACCTTACTCTTTCCTGTATTCACTTTTAATTTTCTTCTTTTGCATACCCTACCAAATTCATCCACCAATCTCTGCAACTTCTCTTCAGAATCTCCCAAGAGCACAGTGTCATCAGCAAAGAGCAACTGTGACAACTCCCACTTTATGTGTGATTCTTTATCTTTTAACTCCACGCCTCTTGCCAAGACCCTCGCATTTACTTCTCTTACAACCCCATCTATAAATATATTAAACCACCACGGTGACATCACACATCCTTGTCTAAGGCCTACTTTTACTGGGAAATAATTTCCCTCTTTCCTACATACTCTAACTTGAGCCTCACTATCCTCATAAAAACTCTTCACTGCTTTCAGTAACCTACCTCCTACACCATACACCTGCAACATCTGCCACATTGCCCCCCTATCCACCCTGTCATACGCCTTTTCCAAATCCATAAATGCCACAAACACATCTTTAGCCTTATCTAAATACTGTTCACTTATGTGTTTCACTGTAAACACCTGGTCCACACACCCCCTACCTTTCCTAAAGCCTCCTTGTTCATCTGCTATCCTATTCTCCGTCTTACTCTTAATTCTTTCAATAATAACTCTACCATACACTTTACCAGGTACACTCAACAAACTTATCCCCCTATAATTTTTGCACTCTCTTTTGTCCCCTTTGCCTTTATACAATGGAACTATGCATGCTCTCTGCCAATCCCTAGGTACCTTACCCTCTTCCATACATTTATTAAAAAATTGCACCAACCACTCCAAAACTATATCCCCACCTGCTTTTAACATTTCTATCTTTATCCCATCAATCCCGGCTGCCTTACCCCTTTCATTTTACCTACTGCCTCACGAACTTCCCCCACACTCACAACTGGCTCTTCCTCACTCCTACAAGATGTTATTCCTCCTTGCCCTATACACGAAATCACAGCTTCCCTATCTTCATCAACATTTAACAATTCCTCAAAATATTCCCTCCATCTTCCCAATACCTCTAACTCTCCATTTAATAACTCTCCTCTCCTATTTTTAACTGACAAATCCATTTGTTCTCTAGGCTTCCTTAACTTGTTAATCTCACTCCAAAACTTTTTCTTATTTTCAACAAAATTTGTTGATAACATCTCACCCACTCTCTCATTTGCTCTCTTTTTACATTGCTTCACCACTCTCTTAACCTCTCTCTTTTTCTCCATATACTCTTCCCTCCTTGCATCACTACTTTGTAAAAACTTCTCATATGCTAACTTTTTCTCCCTTACTACTCTCTTTACATCATCATTCCACCAATCGCTCCTCTTCCCTCCTGCACCCACCTTCCTGTAACCACAAACTTCTGCTGAACGCTCCAACACTACATTTTTAAACCTACACCATACCTCTTTGACCCCATTGCCTATGCTCTCATTAGCCCATCTATCCTCCAACAGCTGTTTATATCTTACCCTAACTGCCTCCTCTTTTAGTTTATAAACCTTCACCTCTCTCTTCCCTGATGCTTCTTTCTCCTTGTATCCCATCTACCTTTTACTCTCAGTGTAGCTACAACTAAAAAGTGATCTGATATATCTGTGGCCTCTCTATAAACATGTACATCCTGAAGTCTACTCAACAGTCTTTTATCTACCAATACATAATCCAACAAACTACTGTCATTTTGCCCTACATCATATCTTGTATATTTATTTATCCTCTTTTTCTTAAAATATGTATTACCTATAACTAAACCCCTTTCTATACAAAGTTCAATCAAAGGGCTCCCATCATCATTTACACCTGGCACCCCAAACTTACCTACCACACCCTCTCTAAAAGTTTCTCCTACTTTAGCATTCAGGTCCCCTACCACAATTACTCTCTCACTTGGTTCAAAGGCTCCTATACATTCACTTAACATCTCCCAAAATCTCTCTCCTCTACATTCCTCTCTTCTCCAGGTGCATACACGCTTATTATGACCCACTTTTCGCATCCAACCTTTACTTTAATCCACATAATTCTTGAATTTACACATTCATATTCTCTTTTCTCCTTCCATAACTGATCCTTCAACATTACTGCTACCCCTTCCTTTGCTCTAACACTCTCAGATACTCCAGATTTAATCCCATTTATTTCCCCCCACCGAAACTCCCCTACCCCCTTCAGCTTTGTTTCGCTTAGGGCCAGGACATCCAACTTCTTTTCATTCATAACATCAGCAATCATCTGTTTCTTGTCATCCGCACTACATCCATGCACATTCAAGCATCCCAGTTTTATAAAGTTTTTCTTCTTCTCTTTTTTAGTAAATGTCTACAGGAGAAGGGGTTACTAGCCCATTGCTCCCGGCATTTTAGTCGCCTCATACGACACGCATGGCTTACGGAGGAGAGATTCTTTTCCACTTCCCCATGGACAATAGAAGAAATAAAGAAGAACAAGAGCTATTTAGAAAAAGGAGAAAAACCTAGATGTATGTATATATATATATATATGCATGTGCGTGTCTGTGAAGTGTGACCAAAGTGTAAGTAGGAGTAGCAAGATATTCCTGTTATCTAGCGTGTTTATGAGACAGAAAAAGAAACCAGCAATCCTACCATCATGCAAAACAGTTACAGGTTTCTGTTTCACAGTCATCTGGCAGGACGGTAGTACTTCCCTGGGTGGTTGCTGTCTACCAACCTACTACCTATGCTATAGTATGCTTAAATGGGGTTAAATCTGAGTGGGGATCTGTAACAAGTGGCGTATCACAGGGATCAGTCTTAGGCCCGTTGTTGTTTATAATATATATCACTGACCTTGATGAGGGTGTTACTAGTGATATGAGCAAATTCGCCGGTGACACAAAGATAGGTAGGATGATTGATTCAAACGTGGATGTTAGGGAACTTCAGGAGGATTTAGACAAACTATTCTTGGTCATAAAAGTAGCAGATGCAGTTCAATGTAGATAAATGCAAGGTTCTGAAGCTCGGGAGTGTCCATAACCCTAGCGAAAAGGACTTGGGGGTTATGGCCAGCAGCAACCTTAAACCAAGACAGCAATGCCTAAACGTACATAATAAGGCAAATAGATTATTGGAATTTATATCAAGAAGTGTAAGCAACAGAAGTCTAAAGGTTATACTGCAGCTTTATACATCATTAGTAAGGCCTCACCTAGATTATGCAGCTCAGTTCTGGTCTCCATATTACAGAATGGACATAAATTTGTTAGAAAACATTCAGCGTAGAATGACTAAATTAATACATAGTATTAGAAATCTTCCTTATGAAGAAAGACTGAAGGCTCTTAAATTACATTCATTTGTTAGACGAAGAATGAGGGGAGACATGATCTTAGTGTGTAAGTGGAAGATGGGTATTAATAAAGGGGATATTGATAAGGTCTTGAGGATCTCTCTCCAAGAGAGAACCCGCAGTAATGGATTTAAATTAGACAACTTTAGATTTAGAAAGGACATAGGAAAGTATTGGTTTGGAAATAGGGTAGTGATGAGTGGAACAGTCTACCTAGTTGGGTTATTGAGGCTAGGACTTAGGGTAGTTACAAATTTAGGTTGGATAAATATATGAGTGAGAGGGGTTGGATTTGAGTGGGACTTGCAAATGAGTGATAGAGTTTTTTTTTTTTTTTTTTTTTTCAACAAGTCGGCCGTCTCCCACCGAGGCAGGGTGACCCAAAAAAGAAAGAAAATCCCCAAAAAGAAAATACTTTCATCATCATTCAACACTTTCCCCACACTCACACATTATCACTGCTTTTACAGAGGTGCTCAGAATACAACAGTTTAGAAGCATATACGTATAAAGATACACAACATATCCCTCCAAACTGCCAATATTTCTTGGGTAGCATTGAAAATTGAGTTGGGCAAATATTTTGTTAGTGGGATGGATTGTAAAGGACCTGCCTAGTATGGGCCAACTGGCCTGCTGCAGTGATCCTCCTTTCTTATGTTCTTATGTTTTTATATTATTTTTGGATGCAATGATTAAGACTTAATATCAAGAACAAAGATAATTAATACACATGCTGTTTACAGCCCAATGGTTCACATGACCATCACAACCTGGCTGATCTGCCACTTGGCAGAGTTATCCAACTTACTCTTGAAAACTTCTACAACTGTTCTGGCATTATTCCTGATACCTGGTGGTAGCACGTTTAAAAGTACTGAACCACAGATGTTGACAGTGTTCTATTATTGTCCTCCCATATCACTCACTCCAGTATATGGTACTGAACAAATTTATGACTAGGCCCCCAAGTATCTTCCACATATATATATACAGTGGGACCTTGACTTAGGAGTGCCCCAACTTACGAGTTTTCTAAGTTATAAGCCATCGTTCTGTTGATTTTTTGCTTCAAGTTGCGGACCAAAATCCGAGTTACAAGCGAAAAAAAAATATGGAAAAAAAGAAGAAAATTTACTTAAAATGGCATTTTGCAAGAACCCCGGCTTAAATGGCACAACAAAAGGTGGTTTTGGGACTTGGTAATTATAAAACAATGCTAGTGCCATGTTCTCACTGGAGGTAATCATGTAATTATCTTTAGCTATTCTACAAAAAAATGAAGTTCCTAAGTTTTTGGCATTTGCAAAATATCTTCCTTTACTCTCACACAAATTCCAAAATATTTGGAATATTTCCAATATTCCACAAGCCAACTGTAGAATAATAATTTTTTTTACAATTCCAGTCAATATTATTGCATTTACTTCAATAATAAATGATGGGCTTCAAGAAATAAGTCAATAACTTACTTCCGAGATATTCATATATCACTGCACTAGTGATCTAGTGCAGGTAGCTTCTCACAAACTCCATTTTCTCTTACCCAGGACCAAACAACACGTTACAGATAGGAGCAGTAATGATTTTATATGCTCGGACTGGTCCTGGACACTCGCCATATAATGGCCTATTTTATCCATTCTAGAGTATATATTATGTTTCTATGTTACTTATAGTGTTTATTATGCCATATCAGATCAATTCTGATTGATAATTAAGCCATAGAGTTGATATTAGCATCATACTGAAGTATTTTTCTCCTGCCTCTGGGATGGTTTTTTGGGGGGCTGGAACAGATTAATGGTATTTCAATTAATTTCAATGAGGAAAATTGATTTGATATACGAGCAAATTGAGTTATGAGCTTGGTCACAGAATGAATTAAACTTTTAAGTCAAGATACCACTGTATTATCAGTTAGCTTTCTCTCCTTCATTTCAAATACTTCGAGCCATACCCAGTAATAAGAACATAAGAAAGGAGGAACACTGCAGCAGGCCTGTTGGCCCATACTAGGCAGGTCCTTTACAATTCATCCCACTAACAAAACATTTGCCCAACCCAATTTTCAATGCTACCCAAGAAATAAGCTCTGATGTGCAAGTCCCACTCAAATCCAACCCCTCTCACTCATGTGTTTATCCAACCTAAATTTGAAACTACCCAAAGTCCTAGCCTCAATAACCCAACTAGGTAGACTGTTCCACTCATCAACTACCCTATTTCCAAACCAATACTTTCCTATGTCCTTTCTAAATCTAAACTTATCTAATTTAAATCTAAATCCATTACTGCGGGTTCTCTCTTGGAGAGATATCCTCAAGACCTTATTAATATCCCCTTTATTAATATCTATCTTCCACTTATACACTTCGATCAGGTCTCCCCTCATTCTTCGTCTAACAAGTGAATGTAACTTAAGAGTCTTCAATCTTTCTTCATAAGGAAGATTTCTAATGCTACGTATTAATTTAGTCATCCTACGCTGAATGTTTTCTAACGAATTTATGTCCATTCTGTAATATGGAGACCAGAATTGAGCTGCATAATCTAGGTGAGGCCTTACTAATGACGTATGAAGCTGCAGTATGACCTCTGGACTTCTGTTGCTTACAGTTACATATTTTTATTGGAGTGTGACCAGGGTAATATTTTGTGAAGGGATTCTGGGAAACCAGTTAGCAGGACTTGAGTCCTGGAAATGGGAAGTACAATGCCTGCACTTTAAAGGAGGGGTTTAGGATATTGGAAGTTTGGAGGGATGTCTAAGCTGTAGTATCTGAGTGGCTCTGCAAAGACAGTGAATGATGGTGAAAGTGTTGAATGATGAAAGTTTTTTCAATCTTTTTGGGTCACCCTGCCTTGGTGGGAGACAGTAGACATGTTGAAAAAAAATATTTAATGTACAGTAGAAACTATTACCCAGATGAGTAAAAAAAATTATATTTGAGCTAACACAAAAACACACTAAAGGCTAATTTTAAATATCATTCCTTAACTTCATAAGTTACATCTAAACCTAGATACACTCTTTAAAACCAGCAACATTATCTATATTTATGCATCATATGATCATCTTTGAATTTCATAAAACAAATAAAAACTTACCTCTACACTTATTCTCTTCTCTCCATAAACACTTTCCCCAGGGACCATGTTCCTTGTAACTAACGCATCCTCCTTACCACGTGCGATAAATACACCCTCATGGCGATGGGGCTCAATCAAAACATTCTTTCCTCCTTTAAATCCTCCTGTTAAATAATAATCATTCAGTTTAATGCAACAAATGCTTTTACTGGGATTAAGTTTTAGTATAATGCAACAAATGCTTTTTCTGGAATTAAATTTCAATAAACATAGTAAACCAACAACTAAATGAACTGAGAAAAGCGAGTGGCCAGGAATGGTGAATGTGGTGGATAAAGATGATATGGTTATTTACAGGAATCTTAACTAACTGAAAATTCCACTGGATTGACTGATTTGGAAACAATAAACAAAATCCAGTAATTATGGAATTATCCATTATTATGAGCATGGCAAAACAATCTCATCTATACCCACCACAACCATTACCAGACACATGGCCTATTAAACAAAAGGTTTACTGTATTTGCAACCTCGTATCATCTTGTTTGAATAATTATTTTAGTATCTACAAACAGAAGTTTATTCTTGTTATTAGGTCATTAATATACAGTACTCTAAAAAACTTATGGGGACCAATAATGAGCCTTGTGGGGCACATCACCCTTTCTTGTTTGTCTAGTACATTAAGTAGTATGCCATATGGTGCTGTACCAAAAGCTTTTTATATCAGCCAAGAAATACATAAATAACCCACACACTGGAGACAAACTCGTTACAACATTTAAGTCCGACCTGGACCATTAAGTAGTCGCACACACAAACCTGAAGGGAAAGGAGCCAGAATATATATAAGAGGAGGGTGAGGGATGGGAGAGGTAGAACAGGAAGAGGGAGTAATAATATTGTACTAGCAGTGCATGTGCTAGAGGTGGCAATAGTGGAAATGAAAAAAGGGTCGAGCAAAGTGTTGGCGGCAGCAGCAGGTAGTGTGAGGAACAAGACAACAGAGGAGCACTGCAAGAGAGCTAATGGCCCACGTGGTACAAAATCCCTGCGAGACAAAACCCATCTAGGAAGAAGACAGGGCAGGCAATGAAAATATAGTTAAGGTGAAGAGGCAGAGAGAGGAGAAAAGATCAAGTCAAGTCACAAGTGTTCTGAAGTTTGGAGCATTTGACAACATAATGAGTAAAGAAGGCATCTATAGTGACAAAGATAGGACTAAGATTCACATTAGGTATGTTGTCTATATGGGATACTTCAACAAAACAGCATCTGTGAAGGCTAGAAGGGTAGACAGTGTTGGCAGAGGACCAGTTAACAGGATGACTGTACTCTCTAACATGACAGAGAAAGAGCATAGTTAGTGTCAGAAAGGCTAACACTTTTGTACTCTAAAGTCTGTCAGAAAGTAAGAAGCCAGTATCTCCAAAGCATTGGAGAGGACAAGAGGAGTAGGTGATGGAGTAGACCCAGAAGCATCAGTAGCAGGGAAGAGGTATGAACAAAATTACCATGAAGAGTATCAGTTTGGCAAAATAAGTTTAACGTCAAAAGACATTTGGGGTTAGTCCTCCCCCTCAACACTCCTTCACTCCAATCTGATATCCAGTATTTATTAATTTATTATTTATATATTTATTTTAAGTGGAAGCACTAAATCCATAAGGAACATACACAGCACCCTTCATTAAACCATGATGGCCCCTTCTAAAATCAGGCCATAAATTTGGACATTCTTTGCACTTTAGGACATCCTTCAACCACCTAGGCAGTGATTAACACATTCTTCAGAGCTTCTTGGGATAAACTTCCCCATGACCTGAGGACAGCATCCCAAAATAACACTATGATATTCTTTCCCTAGATCTCTTATCATAGCCCAGAGGGTCTCCATGAGGTTGAAATCTGGTGACTATCCTAGCCAGACATTGAAGACTGGTATCTCACAGGCACAAAGCCAACAAATAATTTTACAGTGTGGCAAGAAGCACCATCTTTCATAAAAACCTTGCACCACACTGAGGGAAAAATTCAGACAAACTATAATGATGCAATCTAGATACATTATTAAGGTTAATGTTAGTGGGGACATTCATCTAGGCTTCCCTGGACATTCTTCTGGTGTGGACAGGTCATCAACACTGTCCTCAAGGAACTGATATAACTACGTCCACACTGAAAGCTCACGCACATTGCAGGCTTCAACCATTTCCTCCATTTGATGATCTGCCTTATGTAATCAATGATAAGGACAACTGTCTCATATGTGCAACTTACCCATACACATTAATTCATCAATAGCCATAAATGTCCAACAAACTCAGCCCTCAAAAATCACATGGCACAGGAGGAACACAGACAAAACTGTCCACCACACAAGCCCAGAAAGCACTTGGGATGCAGACAGTAGCCTTAGAGAATTCCGTGATGTTCCTCTTCAAGTTGCTAGGCCAGTATGATGTTTTATCTCATCGACAAACTTATCAAGGTAGTGTATTACTTTAGACATTAAAGTACAATGGGTGTCTTCACCCAGCATACTTTAACAATGAGCACTGTAGCACCCGGGGAATTACCTAGACATTTTTGTTATTTAACCCGTAAACGCTCCAGGCAGATCTATGTTCACATGTGTAGTGCTCCAAAAGTAGATCTACATTTTTTTACATTTTTTTAAATATAACAAAAAAAAGTAGATCAGTTTTTTTACACATTTTCAAATGTAAAAAAAAAAAAGATGATCTACTTTTTTTTACATACTTTCAAATGTTGAAAAAACATATATACATGTATACGTTTGGAACGTTTACGGGTTAAAAAAGTATTACAAGAGAATTAAGAAAAAGATATAGATAAATATATATATAGTCACACTGCCTTGGTGGGAAATGGCCAACGTATTAAATAAATATATATATACAGTAGACCGTTATATTACACAGATTTATTTGCCACGTTTTGGTTATTGCACTACTGAAAAATTGCAGCACAATTTTATACAACACTAAAATTAACTTTGCATGGTTCCATTTGCAGGTGCAGAAAAAATTTCCACCAGCTCAAGCTGCCACCTTGTTGAGGGTCAGCGGGGAAAACCTCCGGCCATTCCCTGCCACCCCAACACACCCACCACCACCATCCCAGCCTTCGTGAATACGTGTTCAGTTCCATTCTGTCTTAGGAGCTAGCTGTGTCTGTGAATCATGTTTTGATCTCTTAATTACCATATCTCGTATCTGCCAAGCAATCATGACACCCAGTAGGCATACCAGTGTTGCTGAAATTGGCAAGAAAAGGTACAAGCATTAAAGCCTTAGAATTAACAAAGAAAATAGATATATTAGACAAGAGATAGCCTGTAGCCATAATGAAGTGTCACTTTGTGCAATTAAAAAGAATAAGGTATATATATATATGAGTTTTTGTGATGAATAACTGACTGACTTGATTAATTGACTTGACTGACTTGTGTGACTGATTGGCTTACTTACTTGACTTAGACTTGACTGATTTATTTGATTGACTCACTGACTGACTTGACTGACCGACTTACTGACTTTACTGACTTACTTGACTGACTGACAAAGACTATTTCACTGAAGAGGACCCTGAAACAGTGTCTAGAGCAGCTGATGCCTTACTGTCAGTTTTATAATGTACTGCAGGGTAAAACAGAAGTCCATTACAGAATTTATGCACAATCCAGTACATCGACCTCAGTACCAGAACCTCTACCATCCACCTCAGCCCAGTTGGGCTACAGCATAACTCTCCACTTTCTTCACGATCATCCACAAATACCAGCACCAACAATTTAAGGTAAGAAATACTATTATTTCTGTTGCATTTGTAGTCTTAAGCAGTAAAAACAACATAATACATCACGACAATGAATTACAATTACACATTCACTTTTATTTTTGTAAGATCTGAAGGCCTAAAAAAAAAGGTTGTTTGGCTTATTTGGGGACTGCCAGGAACATAACCCTATTTTTCCCACAAGTTCTTCAGTTTATCTGACACGGATTTACTTAACACGGCGTTTCCAGGAACGTAACTACCGTGTAATATAACGGTCTACTGTATATATTTAGTAAGAGAAATTAAAAATGTGTAAACTTTGACTCTTATGAGACTAAAAAAAAATGACCAGCAATTCTGCCAGCTAGTAGAATATTTATCTCTATTGCATTCACCACCTGTATGCTGAACAACCATTATTAATGCAGGGAAAATACATAACTGATAATGCAAACGAAAAAAAAAAACTTATAATAGATCTAGACCAAATGCAATTTATGTACCACTTAAGGTACAGCAGCAATGAATGACAATGTCAACACCAACCTTATCAACACCGGGATAAATTACCCCAAATGGGGTAAAAATTCAAATCTCAGGGGTAATGAAGGCTCAATAAACATAAATAAAATTCCATAGAAAATTATTTAATAAACGAGGCAAATTACCATCAAAAAGCCCTTTTTGTGATGTATAAAAAATGAAATCATTATTTCTCCAAAACCCTAAAATGAAAATGTTTTCAATGAAATTCTTTAGTCACTAATGAGGTTCTTATTAAATCAAATCTGTATGTAATTAATTTTTATTACATGCAATTAATTTTTCATTTTATTATTTTGTTAAAATGTTGAGCTTTATTTATAAAGTTGCTTTATCATATATAATATACACTTTTCAACATGTATGACTGCATTCTTCATACAAATGAATTCCTCTAACTATTTTGAATTTGAATGCTCCTTGTGTTTTCTGGATTATGTGGACATTCAAATCTACTGGGTAATTTCGCTGTACTCAAATTTGTTTTGGGGTAATTCCCCCCCCCCCCCAAAAAAAAAAAAAATTCACTAACCTCTGATATATGGTATAAAACATTTGGTGTGGGGGTTACTAAATGCATACCTCTTCCTCCACCTCGTCCACCACGGCCTCGGGAACCCCCCACGGTCCCCCCAGGCCACCTCTGCCCCCCGGGAAAACCATCGACCTCCTGGTGAAATCCCCCTCGGCCCTGGCGAAAATCCACCCGGCTCCTGGCAAAAAATCCCCACCCCCTCCTGGCGAAATCCCCAGGGCCCCCTCCTCCCCCGGCCCAGGGAAAACCACCGCCCCACCACGGGGGAAAAATCTGAAAAAAAGTACAAAATTAAGAAAAATTCCCCTTTACCAAAACACCCTTTTAAACAAATATCTATTCAAATATGGGTGAATGTATGTCATCTTTTATCAAAGGGAACAAAACTAGTCTTATTTGTTGTATCTATTCTAAGGGAATATTCCCAAGTCTTTTATTAAAAATTATCATCTATCTTCCAAAAAAATTTGGGGAAACAAAAAATATAAATTAATCAAAAAAATAAGAAAGTAAGAAAGAAAGAAAATTTATTCGGTATACACATACGTTACATGAATTACAGCATAGCAGCATAGTGAGGAACCTGGGATCCCCAAAAAGTCAGACGATGACTTTTTTCCCATTGGGGTCCTTTTATTTATTATTAAAATTAAAGGTTATAAATTTTTTTATTATTCTATAATGAGAAAAACTCTTTTTCATACAAAAAGGGGGCTATCTACTACCCGAGGGTCATTAAGATATCTACAATACGGGGGTCATTAAACTATAATCCCGAGGGTCATTAGGGACTATCTACAATAGGGGTTTACAGGGTAAGGAAAATTTTTACAGTTTTTAGCAAAAAAAATAGAAAATCATTCCCCCCCCTTTTCTGTTGCTTATTACAGCACTTTTGGCAGTCTTTTAAAACTGGTTCAAGCTAGATGGCCTTGACATTTGTGGGTAGTGTTCCTTCCTTTATTGTGTACAATAAAAGGGTTTAAACCCTGGCCCGATGTGGGTATACAAAGTTGTGCTCTCCCCCCCTAGTACTATGATTGCTTTCCCCCCCAAACCTTGACAAAATTGACAGAAAGTATTTGGACCTGTTGTGAGCAATTTTATAAACAGATTTGCTTCAGTTGTTTTACTCTGTCTTCAACATTCGCAACCCCAAACTGCTTTAATTCTTTGGGCCTACATGTTTTTGGGCCCCCACCCCCAGGAGAATTTTAATTTGTTTGGGTGATTTGCGTTATTTTTAGTTTTTTTGTAAAGGCAGAGTCCCAAAGAAGAGCAAGCGAAATCCATATGGCATTGTTAAGGGCAGACATGGGTCTGCCCCTCAGTGGTAGACCTGTGCTTTTATACGGGAATTCACCCGGCTTCGCTTTCTTATACACTGTTCCTATAATTCCCCGACATGCATGGGTAAAGGGGGATTCCAGTATTTAATATGAAACCAAAGGTGGACCCCCATTAACTGAACTTTAAAAATTTAAAATTTCTAAAATTTAAAATTTTTCTTTCCAAAAAAATCTTCTTTTTCCCCCGGTTAAGAAGTTTGTTGTCTCTAACCATTTTCCAAACCCATTCCTGTTTAAAACATTGAATATCTTTGGGGTCTTTTTTTCAACATTTAAAAGTTCCTCAAAAATATTTCCCCCTCTCCCAAAACCCCCATTCCCCATCTACAAAACTCCCCTTTTCTGTTTTTAAGCAATCCATATTTTCCCCTAGGCTTTTTTAACTTTTTTTAAACTCACTCCAAAATTTTTTATTTTCATTAAAATTTTTTTGCCCGTGCCTCTCCCATCTATCATTGCTCTCCTTTTATTCCCTCCCATTTCTTTTCCTTTTTTTACTTCTTTTACTTGCTTTCTTAAACATTCTGCTTTGTAAAAACCTCTCAAAAGCTCCTTTTTCTTTTAAATCCACCTTTTACTTCATCATTCCACCAATCATTTCTTTCCCCTCCCCCCCCTCCTAAAACCACAAACTTCTCCCCCACATTCAAATATGCATTTTTAAAACTTTCCCAACCCCTTAAACCCCCCCCCCAAACTCCTCTTTGCATACCCCCACCTTTCTAAATGTGTTATATTCCCAAATTTCCCTCCCCCTTGTTTATACACTTTCCCCCCACCTTTTTTGTTGCCACCTTCCTTTTTTTCCTCACCTCTTCCAAACTGGGCTAAAAAAAATTTAATGATCGATTATTTTTTCCCCTTAAAACATGTACACCCGGGGCCCTTCCCCAAAACCCTTTTATCCCCCAAATAAATTAAATAAAAAAAATTCAACGGTAATCTCCTTGTTATTTATTTACTTTTTTATAAAATATGTATTACTTATTCCCCAAATTTTCTTTTACACATAGCTAAATTAAAGGCTCCCCATTTACTTTTCCCCCTGGCCCCCCAAATTAACTACTCCCCCATAAATTTTTACCCACTTTAGTTTTGAAACCCCCAAACCCACCATTACTCTCACACTTGTTAAAAATCCCAGCATTCCTAAAACTTTTCCCAAAAATTCTCTCCCCCTTTAAACCTTTCCTTTTCCCCAGGTGCATACCGTTATTAAACCCCTTTTCACACCCCTTTTTATTTTACCCACAAAATCCTTAAATTAATACATTTATAGTCCCTTTTTCCTGCCATGCTTACCCTTCAACTTATTGCTACTCCTTCTTTAGCTCTAACTCATTTAAAACCCCCCTGCCAAAATCCATTTATTCCTCCACTAAACTCTCCCACCCTTCAGCTTTTTTTCCTTAAAGCAGGACCCAGCTTTTCTCATTATAAACCACATATCTCTTTCTTATTGAAAACTCCACGCACATTCAGTTTCCCCATTTTGACAATTTTTTCTTTTTATTCTTTTTGGGAAAAATTTTACAGGAAAAGGGGTTATAGCCCTTGTTCCCCCATTTTAGTTGACTTTTTTAACACGCATGGCTTCGGAGGGAAAAATTCTTATTCCCCTCACCCTGGGATTAAAAGGAAAATTAAATAAGACCCCAAAAAATTAAATAAAAACAAAAAAAACTCAGATGAGTGTGATAAATAAAGTGTTCATGTATGTGTAGTGGACTAAGGTAAGTGAAATAGCAAGACATGCCCGTAATCTTTCATATTTATGAGACAGAAAAAAGACTCGAATCCTACCATCAGAAAAAAACCGGGGTTTCGTTTTCATCACTTGGGAGGACGGTAGTACCTCCCTGGGTGGTTGCTGTCTCCAAACCCCTACCTTTAATGTTATAATTTTAAAATTTCAAACCCATATTGAAGGCTTTAAAAATTTTCCCACTAATAGAGGTTAATCTGTTTTATGGGAGAGCAATGTTCCCCCAGTGATGATCTATCTTACTTTCTATTGAAGAGGGGGTGAACTGGCATTTTTGATTAGATTTGCCTAGCTGGAAAAATTCTATCAGTGGAACTGGCTTACGAACACCCCCAAAAAGTAAATTTTTCAGGACGAACCATCGTTCCGTTATTTTTTTTTCTGTTGG